CATGTAGGCGTTTGTTTGACCGTTACTGTATTTGTTTATTTCACAGTTTATGTACTTATGTATTTTCTGAGCTGAATGGTAGTTAAGCCACCCTCACTGTTATTGCATAAAACATCGAAGGATTTTGCTTTTCTTCAAGAGTAAAGAAAAAACAGGGATAGACATATGCACTTTATTTATCAATGCTAGTAGTGGTGCTGCTGAAACTGGTGTGCAGGTACAAGTGTGCGTCCATGATCAGCAGGAACAAATATCGGCTGATCTCCCAGCGTGAGGCTGACGTCCAGTCCCTTGAGCAGAGGCACAGGAAGCGGGATCGGCAGAACGAAGCCCAAAGTCCCAGACACGAGGAGGGCCATTAGGAGGAAGACTGCAAGAAACTTCATTGTGGTCTTTTGGCTGCAAAGAAATCGAATGATGAGGCAGGTGTCTGGCGTGTTTTATACCTATGGCATATCTTGGGGACTGGGATTTGAGAGACGAACCAGGGAAGGTAGATGGCTTGGGAAAGATCTTGGGGAACGTGATATGATTGCATCATTGAATTTACAATAATTTGTCTCATATATGCATATGATATATACATGATATATTACATATATCATATGTACACATGGTATATACATTATGTATCATATATATTAGATCTATCATATATGATATATCACATATATATGATATATTATATATATTTATATATCATATACATGCTGTATATGATACATATGTTATATGTAATATATATAATACATATATATACGATACATAAAAATATTCCTGATTAATATATGATATTTAATGTATATATCATGTGTATATCTGATATATGTATATATCATATGTATATATGTGATATATCATATATGATAGATCTAATATATATGATACATAATGTATATACCATGTGTACATATGATATATGTAATATATCATGTATATATCATATGCATATATGAGACAAATTATTGTAAATTCAATGATGCAATCATATCACGTTCCCCAAGATCTTTCCCAAGCCATCTACCTTCCCTGGTTTGTCCCTCAAATCCCAGTCCCCAAGATATGCCATAGGTATAAAACACGCAAGACACCTGCCTCATCATTCGATTTCTTTGCAGCCAAAAGATCACAATGAAGTTTCTTGCAGTCTTCCTCCTAATGGCCTTCCTCGTGTCTGGGACTTTGGGCTTCGTTCTGCCGATCCCGCTTCCTGTGCCTCTGCTCAAGGGACTGGACGTCAGCCTCGCGCTGGGAGATCAGCCGATATTTGTTCCTGCTGATCATGGACGCACACTTGTACCTGCACACCAGTTTCAGCAGCACCAATACTAGCATTGATAAATAAAGTGTATATGTCTATCCATGTTTTTCTTTACTCTAGCAGAAAAGCAAATAAACAAGTAAGTAAATACATGAAGGAATGGGTAAATAAATTCAATTTATGCAAAAAAAAATGAATATACAGTTAGGGTGGTCGAACGACCATTCAGCACAGTAAATAAACAAAAATGTATGAACAGTCAAATAAACAAATACATGAACGAGTAAGTAAACAAATGCATGAACGAGCAAGTAAACAAAGAAATGAGCAAGTCATTAAACTGTTCTTACACATTGTTCATATTCAATTTGTAATAATCATATTCGTGAACGAGAAAATATACAAATATACATGTAATTTGTATGATGAATGTAATATATGTGATATATGTAATATATGACATGTTTAATATATGTAATGTAAATGGATAAAATATATGTAATATATATGATATACATAATGTATATAATATATGTGATGCATATGATATATGTCATGCATATAACATATTTGATGTGTATGATATATTTGATTTATATATATATATATATATATATATATATATATATATATATATATATATATATATATATATATATATATGATGTTTATGATTTATGATATGATATTTATGATATATGATATTTATGATACATATATGATAAATTGTAAATATGATTAATATATTTGATGTATATGTAATGTATACAATACATAATATATTTGATATACAATTTATGTGTATAATATTTACATATATGATATATACATATATGATACATACATGTGATATATATGATACATATATATGATACATATATGTAATATATATGATACATATATATGATGTATATGAAACATATATGTGATATATATGATATATATGTTATATATATGATACCTATATATGATATATATGTTATATATATGATACCTATATATGATACATACATATGATATATATGATACATATACATGATACATATATATGATATATATAATACATATACATATATATGATATATATAATATACATATATATGATATATATCATACATATATGTTATACATATAATACCTATATATGATACATATATTATGATACATATATATGATATATATGATACATATATATGATATATATGATACATATATATGATATATATGATACATATATATGATATATATGATACATATATATGAATATATGATATATATATGATATATATATGATACATTATATATGATATATATATGATACATATATATGATATATATGATACATATATATGATATATATGATACATATATATGATACATATATATGATATATATATGATACATATATATGATATATATGATATATAATATATGATAATATGATACATATATATGATATATATGATACATATATATGATATATATGATATATATGATATATATGATACATATATATGATATATATATATATGATACATATATATGATACATATATATGATATATATATGATACATATATATGATATATATGATATATATGATATATATATACATATATATATATATATATATATATATGATATATATGATAC